ACTGCTAACCACAAGGTTGGTGCTTCAAACCCACCAGCCGCTCTTTGGAACCCTTATACAGGGTCGCTACAAGTCAGAACTGACTTGATGTCACTTACATTAACACTACCAGTCATTGGATTCAGGCCCATACTTAATCCAATCCAGTGTGGCTTTAATTTAATTAAGAGCATCTGCAAAGTCACTATATCTGAATAAGTTTACATTCTGAGGTTCTAGTGGATATGAATTTGGGAGGAACATGGTGCAACCTCGTATACTTTTAGTACCTTTTCACCTTGTAGGAATTTGTTAATGTCTGTGGTCTACTGATGATTTTGCTCCTGTCGTCTGTAAAGGTTTATTCCTCCTGTGATTTTTTTGGGGTGTTAAAAGGATGAGAAGAAAAGTGTGTCTGCTCTATTCTCTGGAGTTACATGACTGGAGATTTGTATTTTTACTTAAAAATGTTCTCTTTGTTCTTAAAAAGTAATAGCTGTTTAAGGAGCCTTGGCGGTGTAACAATTAAATACTTGGTTGCTAACCAGAAACTTGACAGTTTGAACCACTAATGGGTAATGATCTGCTCCCATAAAGATTTTTGAGTTATTCGGTGCCATTGAGTCGGTTCCGACTCATGGTGACCTTATACATACAGAGTGAAACACTGCCCTGTCGTGTGCCCTCCTCACAAGCATTGTTAAGCTTGAATCCAGCTCTGCTGCCACTGTGCCAATCCATCTCATTGGGGGTCTTCCTCTGCTTTACCCAGCGTGTTGTCTTTCTCCAGAGACTGGGCCCTCCTGATTTGTCTGAAGTATAGGAGACGAAGTCTCTAAGGAACATTCTGGCTGTATTTCTTCCAAGACAGATTTGTTTGTTTTTCTAGCAGTCCATGGTATTTTAATATTTTTGTGCAACACCATAACTCAAATGCATCAATTCTTTTGTGGTCTTCCTTATTCACTGTCCAGCTTTCACATACATATGTTGTTGTTAGGTGCCATTGATCGGTACCGACTCATAGTGACCCTATGCACAACAGAACAAAACACTGCCCGATCCTGGGCCAACCTCACAATTGTTGCCATGCTTGAACCCATTGATGCTGCCACTTGGCCAATCCATCTCACTGGGGGGGTCTGCCTCTTTTTCTCTGACCCTCCACTTTACCAAACATAATATCCTTCTCCAGTGACTGGTCCCTCTTGACAATATGTCCGAAGTAAGAGAAACGAAGTTTGGCCATCTTGGCCTCCATGGAGCACTCTGGCTGCACTTCTTCCAACACAGATCTGTTGGTTCTTTTGGCAGCCCATGGCACTTTCAGTATTCTCTTCCAACACCATAACTCAAAAGCATCAATGCTTCTATGGCTCAGCTTTTGCATGCATATGAGGTTATTGATAATATCACAGCTTGGGTCAATGCACTGCGTGAGTCCTCAAGCTAACATCTCTGCTCTTGAACACTTTAAAGAGGTCTTGCGCAGATTTGTCTACTGCAGTATATTGTCTGGTTTTCTATGAGTGTTGATAGTGGATCCAAGCAAAATGAAGTCTTTGACAACTTCAGTCTTTTTCTCCATTTATCATAATGTTATTTATTGGTGAGGATTTTTATTTGCTTTATATTGAGGTGCAACCTATACTGAAGCCTGTGTGGTCTTTGTTCTTCATCAGTAATTATGTTAAGTCCTCTTTGTTTTCAGTAAGCAAGGTTGTATCATCTGTATATCTCAGGTTGCTAATGAGTCTTCCTCCAATCCTGATACCACCTTGTTCTTCATATAATCCAGCTTCTTGTATTATTTGCTTATCCTATAGGTTGAATAAGTATGGTGAAAGAATGCAACCCTAATTTTAAATCATTCAGTGTCTTCTTGTTCTATTCAAATGACTGCCTCATGAACACAATTCAGTATTCTGTAATACTCATTCTCTGCAATGTTGTCCATAGCTTGTCATGAACCACATAGATGAAAGCCTTTGCATAGTCAATGAAATACAGGTACATATATTTCTTGTATCCCCTGCTTTCAAACCAAGATCCATCTGATGTTAACAATGATATGGCTTGTTCCATGTCCTCATCTGAATCCAGATTGAACCTCTGGCACTAACAACAACAACAATTGATCAATACCATGTATTATTTTATCCATACTTTATTTATTTTGTCCTTTCTCTTTAGACATACTTTTCACAAGCCTCCTTTCTTTAGCTTGGTATTATGTCTACCTTTCCTATCACCGTGCATCAGTCTTTCTCATAGTTTTAAAGGACGGTGTAATATGCCATCATATGGCAGCATAAGATGTTATTGAAACAGTCCCCTATTAATAGAAATGTGGGCTGTTTGCCATCATTAATAGTGTTGCTGTCATAAATAGTATGGTAGAGAATTTTCTTGTATGTATGTTTTATCTATAGGAGAATTTCTATAAGATAAATTTCTGAAAGTGAAATTTCTGGCCCAAGGAATTGGATCTGAACCTTGGTCAACACTGGCTTTATAAGCCTTACCAATGTCTGCAAATTGGAAGGATAAGAATGGAGCAGCTGGAATTTATCTTCAAGTAACAGTTTAAATTTATAGTATATTTGTTGTTGTTTTGTGCTGTCGAGTCCGTTCCAATTCATACAGTCCTTGTATAGGGTTAGTGGGTTTGAACTGTTGACCTTGCAGCTAGCAGTCCAGTGCTTATCCTGTAGCAACCACACCAGGGCTCAGTAGATTAAACAATACTGAGTTCATTTTTCTTCATGTAAGAGTCTGGTTAGGTTGTCCAGAGTAGTATGAGACACCATAATCATCAGAGAGCCGTGTTCCTTTTAGCGTCTTGCTACATGAACTTTGATACCCAGCTTCAGCCTAGTGGACCAAGAAGGCGGCTTCAGCTCCAGCCATCACATTTGTATTTAAGCAAGAAAGATATTAGAATGATAAGGGAATACTCTAGCTTGAAAGGATACTTTCAGAACTACATTTAAAAGAAACCTCACGGTAACTCAGAAGTGATTAAGTTTAGGACTCACCTTACACTGCTGATACAAGCTCATGACCGTAACATCTTTAAACAGGACCACAGTCATCCACAGGTAGAGGGGGCAGGACTTTAGTACTTATTTTTGGGAGACACAATTCAATCCATAACACTCAGACTGACATAAAATCTAGGCCCTATGAATATGAGGGTGATTCAAAAAGTTCACATAATATCCCATTATGTGCTGATTATATTTTCCACAAACTTTTGAAGTAACCGTTTTATTTACCTACTGGCCATATTTTTCCTTGCGGGGTGATTGAAAGCCAGTTTGATCTTTCTTCCCCAGGAAAGCTTATTATTTATTCAAGAACAGTGGTCATACAGATCTCTTGATGCATCTTCAACTCTAAACAGTTCTTCCTTCTTTCACCAGGGAACAAACCTGATTTTCTCACCAGGAGAAAGCCCTCTGTATCCTTAATAACAACAATAATAGTCATGTGAGAACTTACTGTGAGCTAAGTGTTGTGTTAAGTGCTTGGTATATGGTACCTACTTTGACCTCAGAATAATTCTCTGGGGAGAGTACTTGAATCCTTGTTTAGTAGAGAGGAAACTGAGGGCTATAAGAGGATAAGGTGTGTGCACAAATCATGCAGCTATTAGAGCCATACTTCCTGGATCAGACCGTGGGCCCACGCTCTGATCCTCCACACTGCACTGTACCCACCCCTCTTCTTTATCCCTGAGTCTCCTGGGATGACCCTTGCCTTGCCCTAATCCTGCTCTTGTCTCTCTGGATGCAGGAAAGACCACCAGAGCTCCCCACCAGTGCAGTACCGCGTGCTGCGGGCCCTGATCGAAGCCATGCTGAGCCGGTGTGCAGATGTCTCTCAGACCCCGATGAACAGGAGACCCCTGGTTAGTGCACTGCAGCCTGCTTCCTTCAGCAGTTACGCTGTAGGAGGTTTTAGAAGGATAGTGAGTGCATTGCCTTCCCATCAGAGGCGATTTCATAGCAGATTCTCAGCTGCACACACACACATACAATGCAATGGTAGTTTTTCCAAATGTAGAGCTTTGAGGCTTAAAGATTGTTGTTGTTAAGTGCCATAGAGTCAGTTCTGACTCACAGCAATCCTGTATAGGGTTTCTGAGAAACAGCTGGTGGGTTTGAACCACTGACCTTGAGGTTTAAACTGGTCTTACGACCCAGTGCTTAGTCTTTCTATAGCGCCTTACCAGGACTGAGGTTCAGAGGAATTAAATTGTTCTCCAAGGTTCAAAACTAGCAAGGCCCTGTGCCTAGATAGTCAAATCCCAGGGTATTTGTTTCCAGCCCTATGTACTTCATCTCTTATGTCATCCAAGCAGGTATGATAAACATGATCACAAAATCACTTCAGGCTGCAGTCACTAGAATTACATAAAGAATCTGGCCAGTGTCCAGTGTGTTATACTGGGTTGGCTTTGAGTGGTCCATGGACTGAAGACATTAGAAACGATCCTGTCAGTGTGAATGCTGATGTGTCTTTCAGGACGAACTTTGGACACTAGGTTCTTTATACCTAATGTAATAGGGATTTTCTTATGTTTTGAAGAAACTAATATAGGCATTAATAACCAATAAGGCTGTTATGACACTGTAGCATAAGCACTGGACTGCTGGCCACAAAGTTGTTGGTTCAAATCCATCAGCCACATCTTGGAAACCTATACAGGGTCACTATGAGTTGGACTCATAGTTGGCACCTACCATCAACAACCATAATGTCATTAGCCCATCTAATAGACCAGTCATGTGGTTCACTGGGAGACAGGTTAAGGCATCCTTCTCTGCCATTTTTTAAGGAGCTATTAAATGGCTAGATTGGTGAGGATCTAACCAAGAGCCACTGAAAAGTGTTAAGTGTCAGAATCGAGCGTAGGGGACGAGGTCAGTAGATTACACCCAGACACAGAATAGATCCTTGACCAACAGGTTCCTCTCTCTGATTTCACCTCAGGGCCACACCTCGAGCAGAGGTTCGGAGAAGGCCATTCTGCAGAGGGGAGAGTTCCTCTTGGGCACCCTGGAGGGATTTCGGAACGCCTGCAGGTAGGTTCCCTGTGTGGTGCCTGTGTGAAGGGTGGGAGGGAAAGGGAACTGAGACCAAGGATGAAGTTCTAGAAGCAGCACTTGATTTCTGTTACTCTGGCTAGAAAACCAGAGTGAGGCCTGGGGTGGGGTTGGGAGGTTGCACGAGGTTCAAGGATGTAATAGGTGGGTAGGAAATTTCTACTGAAGATTCTCTCCTGGTACAACCTTTACTCGGGGTGAGTGGTGATTCCGTGAGTTCTCACCTTCCATGTGTGAGACCATGGTTCGATTCCTGCCAATGTACCTCATGTGTAGCAACCACCCATCTGTCCTTGGAGGCTTGCTATGATGTGGAAGAGGTTTCAGCAGCACTTCCAGACCAAGACAAACCAGGAAGAAAGGCCTGGCAAGCTGTTTTAGAACATTCACCAATGAAAAACGTATGCATCACAGTGGTTTGAGCCCGTTGTATAGGGACCACCATGAGTCAGGGGCTGATTCGATGGTAGCTAACAACCACCACCAAGTCCTCACTCCTATGCTATGTCGCATTCAGCCTGCTTCCCCCAGATCCCTAAGCTGGCATGGTAGGTGGTCACTGAATGCTTGTCCACTTAATTCAGCTCAGTGAGCAAATGTCTGTTAAATCCATGGTATGCAGCCTGGTGCTAGACATCAGGGGTAGAAAAGTCAGTAAGAATGATTCCCAGCCTCTGGGAGCTCACAGTCTCTGGGATGAGACAGTTTTGTGTGTCTGTGTGGAATTCAAGAGGCAGTCAAGAGTTCAAGGAAGGCACTCCAGGTAGAGAGAGAACACATGGGCAGAGCAGAGATGCGAAACAGCAAGCAAGCAGTGTGTGTGTTTAGGACAGTACGTGAAGTAGGGTTCAAGACGCAGGGGAGGAAAGCGTCAGAAACTGAACTGACAGGGTCCTCTCCTCGTTGAGGTCCCTGTCTTCTCCAGATCTGTTGTTGAGAATACTTTCCCTGGGCCCCAAACTCAGGCTCCCCCAACGAGGGTTCTCTGTGCTCTGTAAGTGAGTGAACATATTTGCATGTTGATTTCTCAGGTTGGCTGTGGAATTCCAGAGTGAGCCTTCAGCCCAGGAGAATCCATTCACTGCTCCCAGTGCTGAGAAGGAAGACACCTTGGAGGCCTTCTCAGAATTTCTCCTCAGTGCTTGTGACTCCTTGTGTGTCCCCATGGTGATGGTGGGTCCCCTGCACACACACTGGTGGGCAGTGTGAGCTCGGGGGAGGCAGGCTGAGAAGCGCAGGCCAGCACCTGTATAATTGGACCTTCTAAGAGCCTCAGAGTGTCATTCCTATAGCCACCTTTCCTTTGATTTTTACAATTAAGTGTAGTTCTTCATTGCAAAATAATTAGTTGCCTCTTATGAAAAGGTTGTTGTTAACTGCTATCAAGTAGGTGGCAACTCATAATCACCCTGCTTAGGGTTTCCACGGAGCAGCTGGTGGGTTTGAACCACTGACTTTGGAGTTAGCAGTCCAGTGCTTAGCCTACAGTTTGCCACACCAGGACTCCATAAGAAAAGGTAGAAAGCAGGAACAGTAAATAGATAGTGGTTCTGGAGTGGAAGGGCCTCATATTCAGTGGATCTAATCCTCCCAGTGACCCTGTGGGATGAGCACTATAGCATCTCCCACTTTATAGATGTAGAAACCAAAAGTCACAGAGGGTGACAGATCCTTAGGGTTATAAAGCAAGCACAAGTCTTGTAAAAAGCAGCTGTTGATTGTCTAAGATGAAGCTTCACTATGGAACACGTGTTTGTGTTCTGAAAATTGAGAGGGGGCCACAAGGATAAGACACCTGGTCAGGAAGAGCTTCGCTTTGAGCTGACTTGAGATTGAGGTAAGAGGAAAAGCAGGGCTCAGAGCAGTTGGCTCCCAAGTGACCTTGGGTGAATCCTCTGCAGCTTGATGCTTGGCCATCCTGTGGAGTCCCTGTTTGTTGGGGAAGGACACCTCCTAAACACATGCTGGGAACAGTAGGTGGCAGTAGGGCTCTGGCTCTGGTGGAAGAGGGCTGCATCTCCCTGAAGAAGCCAGTGAGCCTGGCAAGGCGGGTCTGTAGGTATTGTGGGTGGAGGAGCAGCCAGGCCCGCAGCCCTGACTCACGCACACTGATTCAGAACAGCCTGGGTAACTCATGTTCATTTTCTCTGCTCTGCCTCCCTCTAGGTTTACATACGTTTCAGCTAGATGGACTCCCAGAGTCGTGATATTGTTCCTGCTTTCTCCTTTGCTGTATTTTACAATTTTTCTTTAAGGAGTTTATATTGCTTCTATAATGAAAAAGGGAGTCCTAGTGTGGCACTGTGGGTTAATGCGCTGGACTGCAAAGTCTGTTTGAACCACAAGGTCGGTGGTTCAAGCTTATCAGCTGCTCCTTGAAAACCCTATACAGGGTTGCTATGGGTCAGAACTGACTGGCCGATACTTAACAACAATAACATAATGAAAAAATGAAACGAAAGAACCCAACTTGATTTAAAAACCAAAGCAAAAGTATTCTATAAAAAGAATGCCTCTGAGGCCCTGGCTATGGACAGATGTGGGAAATGAGACCCAGAGAAGCGAGATGACTGACCAAGGACAAACACATGGGCCTTGCTGCAGATCTTGGATGAGAGGCTGAGTTTTTCTTTTCTGAATCCAGAGCTTGTCTACTGCACTAAGCTACTTTGTGGTCATGCTCCAGCATTACAGAAAATAGTAAATGTAAAGGCAATTGGTTAACTATATGCTATTATGGTTTTAGTAATAAAACCATTAGAAGTGTTTTTACACATCAGGCTTTGTTTGTTTCTGGGAGTAGGTCTTCTTCTTACTCTTGTTCCTGGGAGGTAGGTCTTTTTATCCTTGGGACCAGAGTCTTGGACACGTGAAGTATCTTATATGATCGTTAAGTGACGGATCCAAGCCTTGGATCGAGGTGTGTGACTTCAGATTCTGTAGATTTTTTTGTGTGCCCTTGCTAGATGGGATACTGGTTTTTTTCTTCTTCAGAGATTCAGTCCTGGTGGTCTATGCTGGTTCTTTTGCAGAGGCACTCAGAGCAGACCACCCATCCAGCCCTGATGGAAGTTTTCCTGTCAACTTTACACAGCCTCTTTACTATTGTTCCCCACATGAGGGAGAAGTTCTCCAAGAAGCTTGGTAGGCAACAGCAAATGTGGACGTTGGGTGGGGACAGATACCCTTCTGGCAGCTGCCCAGAGCGTGCAGAGTATCATCTTTGTGTATTTATTCAGAATCCGTGTCCACTTTGCCCATTGTTGAGTAGATGCAAGGGATATGCAGCAGTCCAAGCCATTCTCAAGTGTATCAGCATTTCTTTAAGAATGCCCCGGAGGCTCCAGTCAGAGCCCACCACACACCTTCTCTGAAGAAAAGTACTTGTTAAGATGTTCTGTAGACCTTCATCTTAACTTTACTGTTAGATGGTTATCATTACTGCCATTTTACAGATATCAAAACTGAGGCTTGGAAAGTTTAATAACTTTCCCAGAGTCACACTAGTAGAGAGTGGTCAAGGAAAATTTAAATGCAGTATAACTCCCAAACCAGCGCTCTTTAATGCCCCAAACTTGGGAATCTCTACCAGTTCTGGTTTCCTCTGCCTTCTTCCCATTTCTCCCAAGCTGCCTCCTCCTTCATACGGCTGACACTGGAGCTGAAGGCCAGATTCTGCAGTGGTCTGAGGTATGTATGCGCCCAGGCAAAATCAGGGGCCAGCATCTCTCTTGACTGAATAGGTGGAATTTCTGGCAGGTGTAGTTACTGTATTTTTTATGCAAATAGTGCATACATGTTATACATACATTTTTTGGGAGGGGTCCACTGCACCGTCTCTATCCCTTGTGATATATTTTCTTTAAGCGTGCTATGCTAATTTTGTTAATGCAATATAGAAAACTATTATCATATCATGCTTATGAAAATACCTGGGAGAAAATGGTTGGCAAAAACTGTATAATGTGTGGGCATTGTTTGCATAAAATGTTATGGTCATGGGCCTGTGAGGAGATTGACCCCAGGAATGTGACGTGGACGTGCTTCTATAGGTTGTCTTTAACCTGGTTCCAGTGAGGCTCCTATTCCATATGATACTTGGGTTGGCACTCTGTCCCATCAAAACTGGAAGGGATCATTTGTCAAAGTGGGAAAACTGAGCCCCTCAGAGGAGAAGCGACAGGCCCAAGGCAGCGGGTGGGATTTCAACACAGGTGCTCTTTCCATGTACCAGGTTGTTTCCACTTGTCTTCGATACCACCTCTCAAGATGCTGTGTCCATCCAGAGAGGTCATGTTCGAGTTGCTGCCAGCAACTGAGGAGAAAGTCTCTTGTGCGCAGTAGTGAGATTACTGCCTCAGTCTCTGTCTTGTTAGGTTTCTGGGTGTCCTGTTTTTGAGTTGCCCCTGTCTCTGCATTTACTCAGCAGAGTCCATTTTTCCTGCCCAGAGTCCAAAAGTGATTCCAGAGTGGTGTCCAACTTGCTCACCATGTCTTAGAACAGAACACCAGTATTCAGGAGAGAATACAGGGAACCATCTGGATTGTAGGTTCAAAGTCAAGAGTGTGGATGTTTGAGAGTCAGTACTCTTTGAATACCTGTCTTGGGTTCAGCAACTTCCTGTTTCTCTTGTTCTCCTTCAGTCCTTTGCAAGCTAAAGTGCACTTTTTTATTTGTTTGTTTTGCTCTATTGGAACCTATCATCCCTCTTGATTTGCTTCTTCAGTAAATGTTTTGTTGTTGTTGATACATGCCATTGAGTTGGTACCGACTCATAGCTACCTTATGCACAGCAGAACAAAAACACTGCCTGATCCTGGGCCAACCTCACAGTATTGTTGCCACACTTGAGCCCATTGATGCTGCTACTTTGCCAAACCATCTTGCTGGGGGTCTTCCTCTTTTTCTCTGACCCTCCACCTTACCAAACATGATGTCAGGAAACTGGACCCTCCTCACAATATGTCCGAAGTATGAGAGAGGAAGTTTGGCCTTCCTGGCTTCCAAGGAGCACTCTGGCTGCACTTCTTCCAACACAGATCTGTTGGTTCTTTTGGCAGCCCATGGCACTTTCAATATTCTCCTCCAACACCACAACTCAAAAGCATCAATTCTTCTACAGTTTTCCTTATTCACTGTCCAAATTTTGCATGCATATGAGGTTATTGAAAATACCATGGTTTGGGTCAGGCGCACCTTAGTTCTCAAGCTGACATCTTTGTTCTTCAACACTTTAAAAAGGTGCAGCAGTTTTGCCTAATGCAATATGACGTTTGATTTCTTGACTGCTGCTTCCATGAGTGTTGATAGTTGATCCAAGAAGAATGAAGTCCTTGACAACTTCAATCTTTACTTTGTTGATAAGAATGCTTATTGGTCCTGTGGTGAGGATTTTTGTTTTCTTTACGTTGAGATGCAATCCATACCAAAGGCTGTGGTCTTTGATCTTCACCAGTAAATATTGTAAGTCTTCTTCACTTTCAGCAAGCAAGGTTGTATCATCTGATTTATCACAGGTTGTTAATGAGTTTTCCTTCAATCCTGATGCCACGTTTTTCTTCATATAACCCAGCTTCTCGGATTATTTGCTCATCATACAGGTTGAATAAGAATGGGGAAAGAATACAACCCTGTTACACATCTTTCTTAATTTTAAACCATTCAGTGTTCCCATGTTATGTTCGAACAACTGCCTCTTGGTCCAGGTACAGATTCTTCATGAGCACAAATAAGTGTTCCGGAGTATTCATAATTCGCAATGTTGTCAGTAGCTTGTCATGATCCACACAATCGAAAGCCTTTGCATAGTCAATAAAGCACAGGTAAACATCTTTCTGATATTCTCTGCTTTCAGCCAAGATCCATCAGACCTCAACAGTGATATCCCTCGTTCCACTGCCTCTTCTGAATCCAGCTTGAACCTCTGGAAGTTCTATGTCAATGTATGATTGCAGCCATTCTGTATTACCTTTAGTAAAACTTTACTTGCATGAGATATGAAAGATACTGTCCAATGATTTCTGCATTCCATTGGGTCACTTCTCTTTGGAATGAGCACAAATATGGATCGCTTCCAATCAGTTGGCCAGATAGTTGTCTTCCAGATTTCTTGGTAGAGATGAGTGAGTGCCTCCTGTGCCGCCTCACTTTCTTGAAAGATTTCAATTTTTATTCCATCAATTCCTGGTGCCTTTGCCAATTCCTTCAATGCACCTTGGACTTCTTCCTTCAGTATCATTGGCTCTTGATCGTATGCTACCTCTTGAAACGGTTGAACATCAACCATTTCCTTTTGGTATAGTGACTCTGTGTATTCCTTTCCATCTTCTTTTGATGCTTTCTGCATCATTCAATAATTTTCCCAGAGAATCCTTCAATAACTAAAGTCACGGTTTGAATATTTTCTTCAGTTCCCCTAGCTTGAGAAATGCTGAGTGTGTTCTTCCTTTTTGGTTTTCTGATGCCCAGATCTTTGCACATTTTGTTGTAATATTTGGCTTTATTAGTAAATGTTCAGTGAGGGCCAAATGCCTAACATAGTTTGGGGTCGCAGGTTCCCGGGTTCTCAGGACCTCCTTTCTCATGTCAGAGGAACTGCCTGTGGTACTTAGAATTTGCTGGGCCTCTGGCACAAAGCAATGGTGCCTGGGCACATGACAAGTAAAACATTCTGAGCCAAAGTAGTAACAGCATCACTCTTGTTCTATCTCAAAGTCACGCAGCCCTAAACCAGGTGTGTTCCAGTTTTCTCTACAGCATGTGCCTCAATCTCCTTTCTACTCCAGAGAAGACACGCCCACCTTCCCAAGAAGGTAAGATTCTGTGGTCTGACCACATATGAATTCCATGGTGGTCAGAACCTGTACCATGGCCTTCTGGCCTTCTAATTTCCTAGATGTCTTGTTGACTGGCTGGGCAGTGGGTCAGTACAATAGTGTATGAATTGAATTATGCCCCAGAAAAATAAGTGTTGTCAATCCTAACCTCTGTGCCTGTGGTTATAATACTATTTGGGAAGGTTGTCTTGATTATGTTAATATGGCAGGATTAGTGTAGGGTGTATTTGAGTCAGTCTCTTTCAAGATATAAAAGAGGTTAAGACAAGCAAGCAAACAGGTGGGGGAAGAAGGTGGCTAAGCCACATGAAGACCACCCAGGAACAAAAGCTCAGAGGAGACAAGGACCTTCCTCTAGAATTGACAGAGAGAGAAAGCTTTTCCCTAGTGCTGGCTCCCTAAATTTGCACATCTAGCCTCCTCAACAGTGAGACAATAAATTTCTGTTTGTTAAAACTACCCCCTTGTAGAATATCTATTTCTAGCAACAGTAGCTAGCTAAGACAATAAGACCCTTTTGCTTGGAGCTGCCCAGAGGAACCAGGGAACCATGGAATGATGGAACTGTAGGCTAATTCCTAGGTTGGTGAAATCATTGAATTAGAAGACAATGGAATCCAATGCTCCTGGCACCTTAGAATCTCAAGGTTGGGCGGATCCTCAAAATCATGAATTCCTCCCCTCTAAATCCTCTCTCTGCATTATTCCCATCATCAGACCTCCTGCCCGCTGCCTGTTCACCTTTAGAGACTGATGGTTCACTATGTCTTGAGCAGTCTGTTCATTTTTTTGTTCATGATTTCAAGTAATAATTCTTGAGCATCTGTTTCAGGTGTTGGTGATGAGGTAGTAGGGATAGAGTCCTTACTTTTGTGGAGGGAGCGAAGCAACAATGTTGATGCTCCACCTTTCCAAGCATGATGTACTTCTCCAGGGCCTGGTCCCTCCTGGTAACATATTTGAAGTATAGGAGATGAAGTCTTGTCATCTAAGGAACATTCTGGTTGTATTTCTTCCAACACAAATTTGTTTCTTCTTCTGGAAGTCCATGGTACTTTTAATATTCTTCTCCAAAATCATAACTCATATGCAGCAATTCTTCTACAGTCTACCTTATTCATTGCTCAACTTTCACATGTATATGAGGCTATTGAAAATACCCTGGCTTGGGTCAGGTGCATCTTAATATTCAAGTTGGTTTGACTCATAGCAACCCTATGAGCTATAGAATGAAATGGTCCAGTTCCATGCGATCCTCACCATTATTACTGTGTTTGGGCCCATTAGTGCAGACACTGTGTCAGTCCATCTTGCTGAGAGCCTTTCTCTTTTTCACAGACACTCTATTTCATATGTCCAAAGTATGTGAGACAAAATCTCATTATTCTGGCTTCTAAGGAGTATTCGGGCTGTACTTCTTTTCATTTTAAGTTGTGCCTCATCAGCAAGTTAAGGTCCTGAAAGCGTTACGCCATTTGTATCATCATGACCAGCTCTCCTGTGAGGTGGCAACTCTTCTTCAGTCCTATTTTGAGTGCCTTCCAACCTGAGAAGCTCATCTTCCAGCACTATCTCTGACAAGATTCTGGTGCTCTTTATCATTTTCTCATCTTCTGAGACTATATCTCACAATGTTTCACTGCTATTCATAAGGTTTTCAGTGGTTAAGCTTTCAAAAGTAATCCGCTTTTCCTTCTTCCTAATCGTCAGTCTGGAAACTCTGCTGAAATCTGTCCATTATGACTGATCCTACTGGTATTTAAAATACCGGTGACATAACTTTCAGCATCATTTTGTTGTTGTTAAGTGCCATCGAGTTGGTTTTTACTCACAGTGACCTTGTATAGTGCTTCTAAAGGAGCTCTGGTAGAGTAGTGGTTACGAATTGGGCTGCAAACCTCACGGTCAGCAGTTCGAAACTACCAGTTCGAAAGATGAGGCTTTCTGGTCCCGTAAAGATTTACAGCCTCGAAAACCCTATCCAGGGTCGCTATGGGTCAGAACTGACTCGATAGCACTTAACAACAAAGACATAGTGCTTCAAAGGAGCGGCTGAAGAGTTTGAACTGCCAACCTTGAAGTTCAAACCAACCTTGCAGTCCAGAACATTACCCTGCAGCACTACATCATAGCAATATGCAAACCACCACAATACAACAACCAGCTTATAGGGAAGTGAACAGGTCAGAAATGCTTAGGGCACAGTTTTTCCAGTCAGGCCCACTTCTCCTCAGCTGTGCCCACAGACAGTCCTCTCTCTGCTCAGGCAATGGTTTAGGACTTTTGACAGATACTCACAGAGCACACCACTCCATCATAAGCCTCAGCCTGAGGGCACTCAGCTCTAGCTTCATGGGCTAGCAAACCTAGTCCACCCTGAATTAAGCACTCAGAGATATCCCAGTCTACAAGCAAGCATCATGCCCATAGTCAGTCAACGTTACTTGTTCTTTGGGCCGGGAAGCCCAGCGCTCTGTCTCATGCTTTCACTCTTTTTTTTTAATGTTTTATTGTGAATTATGTGATAGTTTACATGGGAGAACATTAGTTTTACATTCATTCTATCGTATATCGTCTCATTGCCATGGTTACAATCCCCTCCATGCAATCCTTCCCCCGTGCCCCCCCAGGTCTTCAGCACACCGTAGCTTTCCCTCTCTGGATCTAATGTCTCCAGCTGCTCCATCACTCCACGTCATCATCTCTGGCTCTATTTCAGGCATCACTGCTTCTCTGGTTAGGGTCCTGCTCTCTGCTCTTCTCCCTTGATGGTCCTAGGGACCTTCGCTCCTAGACTGAAAAGTTAATCACTCCCCTCCTTGCTATAAAACGTCTACCTTTACATTTCCAATCCTCACAATCAGTCCTGATAACAATTATTCACTATTGTATCACTGGAGACCCTTCTGCATTTCATTGCATCAGCCCCGCCTAGTCAGATTGAATGCTACTTACTGGAGATTCTACCATCCTCCAGGCCCTCTGGATCTAGGTTCCCTCTTGAGAGCTTGTAAGCCAGTCACTTCTTGCCTTTGTAGCCCCCCCCACCCCCCATTTTGGGTAGCCAATGTCCAAGTTGCCCATCCCAGTCTACTCTGTGTGTAGGAGGGGTGGGAATTATTCTTGCTGTAAGGATTTATTCCCTCTTTTGAGCTACTGCTTCCATAGGTGTAGGTCAAGTTCATCAAATTGTATGAGAATCATGCTTTCACTCTTGATTCAGCTGCTGCTCCTCTGCCATTCCTCTGGTGTGACAGCTTTCTGTTCCTGGTCCAGGAAATTCAGTGCTCAGAGATCTCAGTGTCCAAAGGATGCACCCCACTGTCAGCTCTGCTTCTTTGATAGTGGTGAGACCCTCCCTCCTGCTTCTTAGATGGCTCATTTAATACACGTTAGTTTATAATGACAAGGAACTCTGCTAACCACTCACAGCTGAATCCTATAATCCTCTTAGCATTATCCCCCAGCTTCTCTTACCCAACCTCAGCAAGGCCAAAACATTGGTGGGAGTTACAGACTATGGCTGGAAAAAAGCCATTGCATAATTCACTACACCACAGTACTCAACAGAGTACAAGGAGACATCTTCCTGGAATTTTCTTTCAGCCAAGGTATATCTCATGTCAGTAATGAGATCCTTCGTTCTAAATCTTCTTCTGAATTCAGCCTAAACTTACGGCAGTTCCCCGTTGTATTGCTGCAACCATTAAAAAATGATCTTTAGCGTAATTTTACTCGTATAAAATATTAAATAAATTTTGCATTCCGTTGGGTCACCTTTTTTGTTTTTGGAATGGTCACAAACATCTCTCTCTTCCTGCTAGTTCACCAAGTAGCTGTCGTCCAAATTTCTTGGCCTAGACCAGTGAGCAATGTCATTATTACATCTGTTCATTGAAATATAAAATTTTAGGTCCTTGTTTCTCACTCATGCCTTCAGTGAAATGTGGACTTTCTCCTTTGGTAACATTAGTTCTTGATCCTAAAATGGTTACATGTTGACCATTTCTTTTTAGTGCAGTGATTCTGTATATTTCTTCCATTTTCTCTTGATACTTTTGAGGCAGGAATAAGCAAATATATGTTTAATACAGTGTCAGGGATTGATAGCGTGGCACTGTGGGTTAATGCGTTAGACTGCAAAGTTGGTTTGAACTGCAAGATTGGGAGTTTAAGCTCACCAGCTGCTTCTTGGAAACCCTATACAGGGTCGCTATGGGTCAGAACTGAGTCTACGGCACTTAACAACAACAATGTGAGGAAAATAGCATCAGGTAAAGGGTTAGTGGGTAGTATAGGGGAGGAGGCAGGGACATTTGAGCAGAGGTCTGAATGAGGTGAGGAGGTCTGTGTAAAATTTAGGCAGAGAATAGCCCATGCAGTGCTGAGAGCTGAGAAACTTTTCTTTTTGTTGACTATGCATTGAGCTTCTTTTGTTTCCGGGGGATTCCTCAGTGTTGTCGTGGGTGCAGTGATGCTTACCTTATGCTCTCTGCTCTAAGGAGTTCCTCCATCCTAGACTTCTCTTGGTGTAACAGTAAATAATTTAATTATTGCCATTTTATTTCATTCACCAAATAGTTTACCTTCTTGGTGGCTAAGACTCTCTGCTGACCCCCGTTTCTTTTCTTTCCTTCCCAAGCCTCTATCTTTGTCCCTCTCAGATGCAGTGCTGAGGGAGGCAGAGGCCCTGGTGAGCGTTTTCATTATTTCCAGTATGGCTTGGCTCTAGTTATCGCACTGCATTGGTCACTGGTCCTGCATGTGTCCAGTCCGCGGACTGCTCAGGTACCGTTTGACCTGCAGAGGAAGGTGGTGCTGTCCCTCATGCACTGGCAGCCTAAGGGCAGCCTCGTCACTGCAGCCTCTTGTGCCAGCTGTTCGGCTCTGCTGCTGGTAGTGGCTCTTGTCAGATCAAGGGAAGCCCAGCACATCTGCCCTTTTAGATACATCTGGACACACTTTGGAGCATCAGGACTTACATTGTGACCACTTCATTCTCTTAGATGTCAGGAGCAAAGGACAAGCAAATGAGTGAGGTTCCAAGGTATTAATGCTAACAGTCATATTGAGAATAGTATGGCTTGATTGAAAAAATACTCAACTTGGAGTTAGGAGCTCTGACCTGGCTCTGCTACCAAATTTCTGTGGGACAGTCTCCACCGTCGCTCTACCCTTGCCCCTGTTTTTGGCCCTGAGTCCATAATCTTAGCTTGAGGGGCCAGTCCAATAGCCCTCCAGATCAGTTCCCTGCTTTCAGTCTCTCATCCTCCAACCATCTTCACCTGTAGTTGGAATGATCTATCTGGAAGCTGAGTCTTGAACACATAACTCCCCTGGCCATCATCAGCTGTGGTTCCCAACATCAGTTATGGAACAGTGTCTAATAGTGATGGAGTTCCTCCTGGTGTGTGATGACATGTGAAAATAAGGGTAGTTCAGTGGATGTTCCATGAAGTTGATTTTATTTAAATTTGATGCTTTCAATATGAACACACCTTTTCTTTTATGAAAAGACACCTGTTGCCACAGTGGTTAAAATGCTCATTTGCTAACTGAAAGGTCGGTGGTTTGAATCCCCCAGCCACTCCATGGGAGAAAGATGTGACCGTATGTTCCCATGAAGACTACAGCCTTGGAAGCCCCAAGGGTAGTTTTACTCTGTCATTGAGAGTCACAAGGAGCTCTGGTAGTGCAGTGCTTACGAGTTGGGCTGCTAACCTCAAGCTCTGCAGTTTGAAACTACCAGTTGTTCTTTGGAAAAAGATGAGGCTTTCTGCTCCTATAAAGATTTACAGCCTCAGAAACCCTATACGGGGTCGCTATGAGTCAGAACCGACTCCATGGCACATCACCATCACCACATAGAGACACTATGAGTCAGGAGGGACTCAACTGCAACGAGTTAGGTTTTAGTTTTTCTCTTATGAAACAGAGGTTTTATTGGAAAACTCTAGGCATCTCTGCCCTTCAGAATAAAATGCTTCTTTCAGAAGCATTGTAGGTGTTTTGCAGTCTAGCTAAAATGACATCACACTGTTCCTCATCTCTTTCCCGGTGGTCCAGTCCACCTACTAATGGGCTTCAAATACCTTCTCACGGTGCCCCTAGCATTCTCTTTCCTCCCTTCTCTGCCAGTTCCCGCCTCACTTTGCACATCCCTACTCCTCTGAGAGGCTGGCTCTCCCCACCTGACCCCGGCAGCATGAGTCATTCCCTTCTTACTCCGAGCAGGGTATTCATCACTGTATAGCAATTGTCTGCCTCCGCCTACCAGCTGCCAGCTCCTTGAGGTACGATCTGGGGCTCACAGCCTGGCCTAGGACAGTTACGCAAAGTTTGTCACATGAGTGAATGACGTTTGCTTTCTTTCTCTTTTTTTTTTGTAATTCACTTCTGGCATTTCAACACTGCTACATGTTTTTTTTTTTTTTTTTTAAGTTTTTGTTGTGAACTGAGTGATAGTTTACATGGGAGAACATCGGTTTTGTACTCATCATTTCATTGCAGTGATTACAATCTCCGTGCATCATCATTCAGCAGTATTTGCTTCATGAATGATGCTTTCTTGAAGTAATTTCATGTTTTTCCATGTGTTAACTGTAGTCTGTCTTGGTAGACCCAAAACTGCATAGAGGAAGAAGAGTCTGATCTCCTCCTTCCCTGTGCAGTACTCCTGCTCCCTAGGAGATACTCAGGCACTCCGTATGATAAATACCTGCGGGGTACTCTCTGTCTGGCTCTCTCTGTTTGTTCCCTCCGCAGAACTCACTGCAGTAACTAAGCTCCTGCAGCTCGGGTTGCCCCAGATAAACAGCAGGGGCCCGGAAAGCCTTGCCTTCCTGTCGGGCTGCCAGTATGTGAAGGGAACTGGTCGTGAGAGACAGTACTGCATCCTGCTTCTCTTCTACGTGGCTTATGTCCACGACGACAGGTCAGTGCTCAGGGCTGCCGACTGGGCCCGGGCCTGCAGAGCCCAGTTGAGTTCAATAATTATTCACACAGGCACTGGGACACAAATGCGTTGTATTTTTATCTCTAGGGGGCTCATGGTGGTGCTGTAGGATAAGCACTGGACTGCTAACCACAAGGTCAGTGGTTGGAACCCACCAGCTGCTCTGCAGGAGAAAGATGAGGCTTTCTGCTCTCATAAAGATTTACAGTTTGGGAAATCCTGTACAGAGTTGCTGTGGGTTGGAACTGATTCGACAGCATCTAACAACGAAGATTAATAGAAGCCCTAGTGAAGCTAGAGTTGAGTGCTAGGATGCTAATTGGAGAGTTGATTTGAACCTACCAGCTACTCCATGGAAGAAAGGAGCTGGTAATCTGCTCCCATAAGATTTTAGCCTCAGAAACCCTATGGGGCAATTCTGCTCTGTCCTGTAGGTTACTATGAGTCAGAATTGACTCAGTGCCGTATAGCAATGGTTAATGGGAATCTTAAACTGTGCATATTGGCCATTTATATACCTTCTTGAGAAAATATACACGTTTTAAAATTGGGTCACTTGTCTTTTTTGTCATCGAATTATGAGTTCTATATACATTCTCTATGTTGTTGTTAAGTGCCATCAAGTCAGTGCTGACTCATAGCAACCCTGTGTAAGGTCTCCTAGGTGCGGCTGATGAGTTTGAACCACTGACTTTGCGGTTCAAACTGACCTTGTGGTCTAGTGCACTATCATGCAGCAACTAGGTTCTTATCAGATATATGATTTGCAAATATTCTCTCACATTCTATAAGCTACTTTTTCATCTTCTCGGTTATGGTGGTGGTGGTGGTGGTTATGTGCCATGGAGTCGGTTCTAACTCATAGCGACCCTGTACAGGGTTTCCGAGGCTGTAAATCTTTACAGGAGCAGAAAGCCTCATCTTTCTCCCGCGGGACAGCTGGTAGTTTCGAACTGCTGACCTTGAGGTTGGCAGCCAGATTCGTAACCACTATGCTACCAAAGCTCCTTATGTCCAACAATTTGTTAATTTTATTAAATCTAATATATCTATTTTTTTCTTTTGTTGTTTGTGCTTTTGATATTGTATCTAGGAAACCAGTTTCTAACCCAATATCATGAGTATTTACTGCTATATTTTCTTCTAGAATTCTTTTCCTTTACAATTTTAGCTCTTACATTTAGGTTTATGATCCATTTATTAATTAATTTTCATGTATGGTGTGAGGTAGGGAACAAACTTAATGGTTTTACATGCAGATATTCAGTTGTCCAGGCACTATTTGTTTAGAAGATTATATTTTCCTCATTTAATTGATTGTCAACAATCAATTTACCCATGTGATTAAAAATTTTTTTTTAATGATGGTTATTATACAAATTTAAGTAAAATGCTTGGGTATATAGTTAAAATAATTCACGGTACAACTCCATCATCTGTTATTTTCACCTATACCCAAGCATTTTACTTAAAGTTTGAACTAACTATTGTTAGGAGTCCTGATCATGTGCTGTAGAATAAGCATGGCCTGCTAACAGAAAAGTCAGTGGTTCAAACCCATCAGCTGCTCTTTGGAAACCTTGTTACAGGTTCACCATGAGTTAGAACTAACTCAACAGCACTTAATAACAACAGCATTGTTAGATGTTATATGTGAACCTGTCTTTACATATACAAACACATACTTGCTTTTTTAAAAATAAAATGCACACAATAGGATTTCATATAAGGTCTTCGACTTGCTTTTCAGTGTAATACTACGTCTTGGAACCTTTCCATGGTAGTAAATGTATTACTAGAGCTATCTAATTCTTTTGGTAACTTCATACTAGTGTGTAGTATGGCTATTATTCAATTTTTCATAAAATGTTTAAATTTTAGACTTACAGAAAAGTTGCAACAGGGAGTTGCAAAATACCCTTACCCATTTTTCTCTAATGGTAACATCGCCAAGATTCATTTCTCAGAACCAAGTGTCCAGGTAGGGTCCACAATCACCAGCAAAAGTCTACATATCTGTTCTAGCAACACTTTACGCACATAGAGCAGAGACAGAACACGATCCTCTTCAGTAGTGGGCACCAGTCTCTCATGACCAGCAGGCTCACCCTGAGTATGGCTGGTGCAAGGCATGTGTTTTATGTTCACCCCTTTCATGTTGGAGTACAAAAGAGCTTGGCCCCCCTCAGCCCCCAACTGGGAATAGATTTGGGAGCGGGATTTGTCAGGTGCCGTATGGTGCCCACATGTGTGAAAGACAGAAAGCTATTGTGGGTCCCAAACAAGGGGAAGACTACTCTGATAATGAGAAAGAGCTGGGAGTGAGAGGTCACCCAATTCCCAGTCTTCTTAGAGAAATGTTCTAGGCCTTTCCTGAGGCAGCCTGGATGGGAGGTGTAGAGGCAGACCGTTCCCCCAACACCAAGAAACCAACATTGGCATGTTACTTTTAACTGAATGTTAATCAGATTTCATATGTTTTTCTTCTACTGTCTTATTTCTGCTATAGGACACAATCTGGGATGCCACATTGCATTTAATATTATTCCATTTTTAATGGTTTAATTTTTTTTAGCTACTCAACCTAGTAAAAGTCCTGGTGTGGCGCTGTGGGATAAAGTACTGGGCCACAAGGTCATCTGAACAGCAAGGGTGGCTGTTCAAACCAGCTGCTCCTTGGAAACCCTATACAGGGTCACTAAGAGTCAGAACTGACTTGATGGTCCTTAACAACAACATCAACCTGAGAAGAAAGACATGTCCATGGTGTAAAAAAAGAGTTTTACACTGGAAAATCAGTGTCTTTCTCCCACAACTCCCTTACATGTACAAGCATTGATGCTCTGCTCCTACACACACAGAGCACAGCAGTTAGCACAGTAATGGCTATGCATTTGTTGTTGTTGTTAGGTGCCATCAAGTTGACACAACAGGAGGAAACATTGCCCAGTGCTGCACCAACCTCATAATCATTGCTATATTTGAGTCCATCGCTGCTACCACTGTGTCAGTCCATTTGGGGGTCTTCCTCTTTCCCCGATCCTCCATTTTACCAAACATGATATCCTTCTCCAGCAACTGGTCCCTCCTGACAAGATGTCCAAAGTGTGAGAGACGAAGCCTGGCTGTACTTCTTCCAACACAGATCTGTTTGTTCTTTTGGCACACTAACTTTCTATCTTTAATATTCTCCTCCAACACCATGTTGTTGTTGTTGTTAAGTGCCATCAAGTCGGTTCCGACCCATAGCG